AATACCTTTTTTATTGCCAAAAATGCTTACTAGTGGTTTATGATCTATAAGTAAGGTAAAATGTCTATTATATAAATACTGATTAAATTTTTTAAGCCCAAAAATAATAGCACAAGCCTCTTTATCTGTACAAGAATAAGATTTTTCAGAAGGTGTTAATGTACGCGATGCATACGCAATGGGACGATTGTCACCATTGGCGTACACATGAGAAATTACCGCCGAAATTCCGTAGGCGCTTGCATCACATGCTAATGTTATTGGTAACTCAGGATCATAATGCACTAGAACTGTTGATGAAGTTAATTCTTTTTTAATATTATTAAACGCTACACTTTGTGCTTTACCCCAAATAAATTTTGAATTTTTCTTTAATAATAAATATAAAAGTTGTAATTTTGTACTTAAGTTTGAAATAAATTTTGAATAATAATTTACCATACCTATAAAAGCTTTAAGTTCGGTAACATTAGTAGGAAATTTCATATTAAGAATTGCTTCTACTTTTTGCTTATTAGTGTGTAAACCATTTTTATCAATAGTATATCCTAAATAATCTAAACTTGGAACTTCAAAACAACACTTGGAAATAGCAATTTTTAAATTATATCTTTTAATCTTTCAAAGACATTTATTAAAATTTTGGTATGACTTTGTTCATGAGGCGCCGCTATTAAAATATCATCAAGAAAAACTGCTACTCCTTCTATATCTGAAAATATTTGTTCCATAATATTTTGAAAAATACCGGGACTTGAAGCAATACCATAGGGTAATCGGTTATATCTAAATAAACCCTTATGTGTGTTAATAGTAACTAATTTTTGAGAGTTTTCGTCTAATGGAATTTGTGCATAAGCCTGCGACAAATCTATTTTACTAAAAATTTTACAATTGCTTAGAGTAGACAATAAGTCCTCTATTTTAGGTAATGGAAATCTTGTAATATGCAATTTTGGATTTAATGTAACTTTAAAATCTCCGCAAATGCGAACATCACCAGTTTTTTTCAGAACTGGTACAATGGGTGTTGCCCATTCAGAAAATTCTACAGGGGTTAATACACCTAAGTCGGTTAACCTCGAAAGTTCTTTCTCGACTTTTTCTTTTAATGCTATAGGTAATGATCTAGGTTTGCAAAAAATCGGCACTGCATCTTGTTTTAAATATAATTTAGCTTTTACACCATTAAAACATCCAAGCCCACTACTAAAAATTTCAGAATATCTACGAAGTAATAGATTTGATACTTTTTCTGAAAATTTGCTATTATCATCTGAAATATGAAACAAATTATCTATTGATATATTAATCTTTTTTAACCAATCGCGCCCAATGAGGGGTGGGCCATTACCTTTAAGAACAAAAAGTTTTGTATTATGAGACATACCATTTATCTCAACTTTTACTTGTATAAATCCTAAAATTTCAATCGAATTACCTGAATATGATCTCAATTTTAAAGAAGAATGTTTTAAGCTACTATTTACAAAATATTTATAATACATAAATTCGGATATTACAGAAACAGCAGAACCCGTATCGACCTCCATGCATACTATTTTATTATTTATTAAAACATCTATTTTTAAAAGTTTAGCATTAGTTTGTTCAATTTTAAAACTTTCCTGTGATGAATGTAAGTCGATCTGGTCAAAAGCTTTATTTAAATTGTCTGAATCAGACTCTTGTTGAATATTATAGGTTCTTACAGATTTCTTTTGTTGACTTCCTTTTTTGTTTCTTTCCTTATCTTTACCCTTTTTGGTACACATTTTAACCACATGCCCCACTTCTCCACAACGATGACAGCGCGCACGCTTGAAGAAACACTTCCTCTCGTCATGATTGGTTTTTCCACAATGGCGGCATTCTCTTCCTTTGGAGCGACCTCTGGCAGATAGTTTGTGAACCACTGATGACGAACTTCCGGATGTCGATGCACTAACCTCACCAAACACGTGGGAATCCTTTTCAACCGCTTCTAAATTTAGGGCCATTCGCACTGCTTTTTTATAATCCAAATCCTTTTCTGCCATCAATTGTAGCCTAATATTTTCACTTTTAATGCCACATAAAAATTGATCCGTAATATGATCTTCTAATTCACTACCAAATTGTCACGTTTTGGCTAAACTTTTCAGAGCAGCTAAATATTGAGACAGGGTCTCCCCAGGCTCTTGAAAACGTTTACGTAATTTACACCTTTCCGCTCTTTTGGATGGAGACGGTTCTAGATGGTCTTTCATAATTTGCACTAGCTGATTATAATTTTTACTGGAAGGCTTCTTAGGATCACATAAATCCTCCAACAGCTCGAACGTTTCCTCGTCTATGGCTACGAGTAGTACCGATGCTTTATTTTCCTCCTCAGTTTTATTTACTTTGAACCATTGTTCAATTCTTTCAACATACGTCGACCATTTTTGCTTTCCGCCTAATTTGTAAACTGGCACATTGCCGACCGACATCTTGATTTTAGGGTACTTACAACTGCGTAAGTAACTCAAATTTACTTTTATAAAATTTTACTAATAATTTTGTCCTCGTCGCCACTGTAATAACTCGAGGTAAATTAGTCGAAGGCTGGCTAATCACTAACTTTATTTCAATATTCATACAAAGAAGGTAAAAAACATTCGTATAAAAAGTCTTTATAAAAACAACGATAACAAGAATATGTTAAAGGATATATATATATATTACAGGGTGGACGTTCGATCGTAAGGCATGGCTACTCCGCGAGTAGTCATAATGGGAAGTCCGCCTTAGTGCGGAGCTATTGTCGATTAGTCTAGCCACTGGGACGAACCATTGCCCTGCGTGTGGTCTCATGGGTTTACTAGTGTTGTTTGGCTTCCGTCCAGTTCAGAATTCGTCGAATTCGAAGAACGTTAGGATATTTATTTGGTTCTTATGGTATTTATTTTTTAATTTGGAGTTAATTTTCTTGTAATTTAATATTAACTATATAGGTCACATTAATATCTCTGTTGGACTCGATTATTTCGAAAGGGGGGAAAAGGTTTATACGACTTCCGGTCTAGACCGGAAGTGGTGTTTTTGGACCGAAAGTAGACTTTTTTAATGGAAACACTCATTTTTTACCACGATTTCGATTGAAAAACGAAAAAAAAAACTTTTTGTTCTTATTATTTTTTCGGTTTAACCCACATTTTGGCGATAAAAGGGCCATAAAAAACAGAAAAAAAAACAACAATCTTGAGGCAACGGAGTACCTTGTTGGGATCACTTGAAGGGTACAGGGGAAAAAAGATGAATGTCCAATATTGGCCATTTGTAAATAAATACTTATAACGATGCCCTAGTGGCCACTGCTTTTGTGAAAACAATCATACTGGCAAAAAGAAATGAGGGTTGAAAGATACAGCGTACTTAAAATTTGCCTTACAGGGAAAGATAGATGAATGTCCCGCCAGTGTGTGAAAAACAGATGAATGTCCAACTTGTAACTAGCACGTGTTCTGATGTTGCTCCTGTTAGATTTAGTTTGTCGATCGAACGCCTATACAAACGGTGACAGTTATTTAAAATGTGATCACCGTAAGTTTTGAAGTAAAATTAAATCGATTTTCGCATTTCTCGTCAAAAATATTGTTTCTAAAATAATGAATCGATTTTCAAAAAGTAAGAATCGATGTATAGAGAATTAAAAGTCCTTTCTAATGACCCTCCACTTGACCCCTATTCCCATTTGAAAAAATTTAGGGGATAGCACCCCCACTTAGGGGGTTGAAGATTTTGGTATGCTTTCTGAGCCAAAAGTTGTTCCCCTCAGAATCAAATTTGACCCGTTTTTGGATTTTGCCGAAAAGTTCTTTACTACCCTGTAATGCCTTGCGGTACGTTTTCGATGGGCTACCCTGTATTCGTAGATACATATAATTTTATTTAAAAAAATAACTAAAAAGTGTATGATGTTTTTCAAATTATCAGTCTTTGAAACTTTTTTATTTTACTCCAGACTTGTATTTTGCGACATTCATCTTTTTCCCCTGTACCCTTCACTTTTTTTTAATGTCTCTTACAAAAGTTGTAGGATTTTGACATGACCTTGAAAATGACCTTGACCTTGACTTCAAGGTCGTTTTGCTGTTCATTTGCTTAGTTTCCAAATTTTTTTTTTATCATATTGCCACTTTGTTTCGTGTTTTCCATCATAAAACACCATTTATCTTGAAAACGGTTCACGTTAGAGCTTTTGACCATGAGTACCATTTTTGTGTAGAAAACATGCCAGGTTTAAAATATGCTTTCAAACTGCCAATTTTTCCAGAGTTTTCAGAATATCAAAGTGATCATGTTGAAAATATATCAATAACTGCTCTTCTAAGTTTTCTGGAATGAAATTTCGAGGTCTAACTAGTGTTAGGAAAATGACAACCGTGCAACTTAAACATTTGTTTTTGAATAAAGTCTCAAAACGAATATAGGTATTTAGAAACGTATCACTTTCTCAGACTTGCAAACCATGACTGCTACTACAGTTGTATAGTGGTAGTATTCTGATTCTAGTGATAGAATGAATAATATTTGTTTAAAGTTATCAAGTATGTTGAGAAACATGTAAGTGGGAACCAAACATAAATGAGAAGTTTGGAGCATTTGTCATCATTGACATTCTACCGCTGCCATCCCGTACCAAATCCATAAGTCGCATGTTTTTCTCCTTGGCAATCATTGCATTATATTTTCCGTTAATTTTTAAAAGACTGATTACGCAGGATATTATCTGTACCTGAATATATGAAAATATATCTATCTAGGAACATTAAAACAAAAGAAATTATCTATTTAGATTATTATTACACAATTGAAATTTATCATTGAAAGCGAACCTGAGTCATTTATAATATAAAATTATTTTAACTTATGCCACATTCTACCAACAGAAACAGATACACATTCTAATATCTTCAATCAGATGACGTCAGTTCTAAATAAAAACTTCTTATCGAATTTTAGCAATCCTCACTTAAGTACCTTTAACTTTTAAGCACCATTTACGAAAAAGTTTTATTGTTTGTTACGTCTTTTGTATTCAAAACACGCTGATATAAGGCACTTAATATAAAAAGAATACTCTCGGTCGGATCTGCATCAGTTAAGATGAAGTTTTATCTGGTGTGTTTGTCGGTTCTCCTTGTTGGAGCCTATGGTAAGCACTTTTTTCCAGTAAAAATAAAAATAAAAATGTATGAAATGTGTTTACAATAACGTAGCACAAATTCCTGAGATAACAGGGTCTTAAAATTACATTTTTTCTATGAACTCTTCTGGTATTATTCTTCTGGTATCCGTTTATTAAAACAATAGACCTTTTTAGTAGTGACGTCACATACGCCAAATAATAGGAAACCCCATAGTGCACATTGTCATGAAGAATTTCTCAATATTTTTACTAGATTGATTTTCGACCTTATGTACTTTGGTCAAAAAAATGACTTCTTTGTCGTGACCTTAAATATCGCGATATTCTTGTAATATTAGAAATATTTAAGAAGTTTCAAACCCCAAGTGGCAAACTAATAGAATTATAGAATTTACATATTTAAATTTATAGAACAATATCGACTTTTATATTAATCAATAATTTAAAATTATATCAACGTTACTGAGCATGCGCATTAAAGATAATTTCATGTAAGCGAAGTAGCCTCGCAACAGGATATCATTCCAGAACAGTTTGGTATTGGTTAAGAGTACGTCTATAATAAACCACTTGAAAAAAAAACACTCGATAACACACTGCATCAGATTCGGTGTGCACAATTTCAGCTATGACAAATTGTTGCGGGTTGCGTAAATATGTGACGTCACACTAAAAGAGTCTTTTCTATAAACGAGACACATGAGCGTCGTTAATCCCCGGTTCAAGGGGGGACAAATTTAAAAAATCTCCTCTTAGGTGTAAGATCCCCAAATAAATAGCACGTCATTGTTATTAACTTGTGACATATTAAACTAAGGAGATTATTATTATACAAAACTGCTTATTTAATTAATTCTTTTCTGTCTCCCTATTAATAAATAAACGGACAGTGGTATGAAATTTTAGTTGAACTTCCTGTTCATAGATGGTGCAAATAGGGCATAGTCTAACAAGTCACACTAAATTAGTTTTCGTTTTATATTGTTTTAAATTTCCAGTGAAATCATGATTTCATACGAAAATAAAACAATTAGGGCAAGTTAACAATATTTCATTTTTCAATATCTGAAAAGATGACAAAAAGGATAGATATGTAACCTGAGGGATTATTTCTTTATTTATCTATATATCGTTATGACCAGTAGGTATCATAACGAGTCTGGATTTCAAAAAAATTTACTATTCAATTCTCGAAAGGAAGTTTACAATTATGGTTACCCTTTAATAATTAATATTTGGGAACTTAGAAATGTTATATGTTCAGAGAATGAATTTCAGGCACTTACCCTCTATTGCTTACGTAGAATGTAATCCAGTGGCTGGCTATACAGGGTGACACTGAATTTGAGAGAAACAAAAGGAAACACCAAAACTTCCAGGAAGGGTTTTAATAACAATAAACAAAACAAACAAACAAAATAACAACACAACGGCTCGAACAACATTATTAATTAATTTATTGACACGCGACAGCGTACCGAGATTCAGGGAATGCGCGATCCATAGCAAAATTTGGAATGACTATCCATTATTAAATTAACCCTAGACTCTAAAACTAAGTAGGCTGCTCAATGTGAAACCCAAGGAAGAACTAACTTTTTTCGTAGATCTCTCCTGAATTCGACACTTCGCTTCGACACGCCCATTTCTTGGCGGGAACTCTGAATGTCGGGACGCTTTAGCATAACTAAGCCATGTTAATAGTTGTCTAATGGGCTGAATTTACATTTGTCTAAATAATTTTGAGACTAAACTTACAAACAACCCTATACCTTCCTCTTGTGACCCCGCATAGCAATACGGGACGGATTAGTCCCTTCTCATTTAATCTATTGTTATAGCTTGTAAAATCCGCCTAAAAACCAGCTATTTGATCTATTACTTTCTTTTCCTCACAACATTCTACACTTATTCTTGGAATTCCTACGTTCTTTGGAATGCATTTCGCGCGTTATTTGAAATATCGATTTTTCTCTTTATACCTGCTCAACACATGGCCCCGGCAGTTTGAGTGAACTTGTTAACCAATATTGCTAAATTTCGTGAAGCCTTCCCCGAAGGACGGTCTTGGCGACGTTAAACCTACTTGAAAATCATTAACTTTCGATAATTTGTGTTGACTGAAATATTTTACTTTTTGGCCCATACGTTCCGAGAACTAACAAATAAATTACCACGCGTCCCGGCTTTTGTTACAGATATTTCTATAGTAACTGTGTTTACTGGTGTAAGCTTGCCCACGAAACTACACTATTTAGGGACTTCAAAGTATATATTCACCAAATTTTAACAAAATATGAGGATTGCATTCAGGCAAATTGGCAAATTTTGTTTAAAAAATATTAATTTTAACACAATTTAACTTGAAAACAAAAAACGAAATACTCTTGCTCAAAGTAAAAAAATATATATCTTTTAATATTCTGTTACCTTTAGAACTTGTCATTTCTGCTGCGAAGGACAAGATTTTCTGCCATTATCCCTAAATAAATTTATACGCCAGCACAAAATACCGATTATTTTCTTCCAGCTGCTCCTAACGATCCTCCCAGCGTTCGAGTCGTAGGAGGCGACGATGCCGAGCCGGGCCAGTTCGCTTACCAGGCCTCAGTCCAATACTGCCTTCAGGGTACCTGTTCGCACGCCTGCGGTGGAGCCATCATCAGTTCAATGTGGGTCCTGTCAGCTGCTCACTGTATCACCCAAGCCCCAGCCCTTGGCAGCTACCAGATTTTAGTCGGCGTCCTCAACTTCAACGAAGATAACCCGGAAAGACAGTTGCACCGCGTCAACTACGCGATCATCCACCCGGAGTACGCAGGGTGAGTTTTTACCGATTTCTTCTTGTAGGTTTAGAGAGGTCACTACTTCGATCGGTAGTAGTCATACTTTGGCAAGTTGAAGGTTGTGGGTTTAATTCACAAAATTGTAGGCAACCAACCCAAGTAAAATTTTTTGTTCCGATGATATCTCCAGTCGAAAATCCGCACCAAACAGTAACACGTTGTGGATCCATTTGTTTCTCAACATCCACTGGTGCATTTTCTGAATTTTGTCGATCATTTCATCAAGATGAAAATTAACCTCGTTCGCTGAATCTCGTTTTGAGTTATAACAAATAAAATTTCAAATATTTTGGAAAGACGTGCCTAATTTTAGCTATCATCATTATCATCCACCCCGAATACGAAAACTGCTTTTCCACCGCGGCACTTAGGCCTTATTAGGCCCCTTGTAAACCCCCCTTCATTACTCGAGTACTTTTCTTCAAACCATCCTATTACTACACGGGTGGCTTGGTGGCACAGTATCATACAATTTTTATGTATGATAGCAATGGTCTTGAGTTACAGAGATTTATTGCTCTATTCTCATTACCATTTTATCGGGGACCACACGCAGGCGGAAGGTGTTGAGCGACACAGGTCTCTTGTAGGCTGCCACAGCCACGTCCCCGAGCCTGCCTTAGGTCACCCATCCAAGTTACAGCCTGCGTCTGTGATTGTTACCTCGGCCGATCGAAATCCATCGGCCAAGACACCCGGCTAGGCGGTCCACATGGGTCATAGTCAGAGATATGGAGTAGGGAGAATGAGCGTCAAGATGCGCAAACTTGTTTATAAAGGAGGTCGCCATTTTGAAGTCTTAGATACGAGGGGGTACTATATTACATTACAAGGTCAGTTATAAAATTTCTAATTAGAAACGCACATAACTTTACATTAAATTTTGAAATGAAATAAGAACTAACAAATACGTACTTTTGAAATTTTCAATTACATATGAATTATTTTTCATAATTTTCTAGGTATATCTGAATATTTATTATATAATAAAAAATTAAATTTTCATATATGCACTTCATAAAAAATATATTAAATACTATATTACTCAAGAACAACGGCTAGAGTTGTATCATTACTGCATAGGATATTATTACCTATCATGTATGTATAAATCTCTGCAATTACTCCGGAATTGTGCTGAACTGAATGATACTTTAATTATGTTATAACTGTCTTGTTTCACAGAAGGTTCAACAGAATATTAATCACACCAATAATAATATATTTTTGATACGATAAACTTTAACAGATTGCGGTAGGTACTCAATTTATATGAAATAAAAAAAAATTGTGATGTAGTTCCTAAATATTTTGTATATTAAAATAAAACACTGTATAACGTAACATATTTATTTACTGATGGTTGAAAATAATTATTTAATTTTTGTCTTAATGCAGGGCCTTGAATAATCCGTCCTTAATTTCATTTCGTAAAGACTGAACGGTAAGTTTCCTGTCTACGTTTCAGTTTAACATTTTTCGTTGCAACTGTAGAAGGAGATATACTGCAAAGATATTTTCATTATTAAAGTTATCCATTAAAGTATGTTTTCATTGCCATAATACTCCTTCTCTTAGCACTACTATCAGTACTAGTGTTACCATTCGTTGTATTCTGAACACTGAAAATAAAATTACTGTAAATATTACTTCTTAATTTATTAGGTCCGTATCAAACAATTTGTCAGGGTACGTATTTAACATCCTTAGCATTACTACTATTTTTAAATTACAAATCTTTATTACCTTGAATTCAGTTGTCTCTTCTTTTTACGTTGTACCTACTCGAACTTCAGTAACGTTATAGGTCAAAGATGATTCACTTGATTGTAACATCAATTTGTTCGTGAAAGCTCCTGTATTAATTGAACTCGATAAAGAACTCTTGCTTAAAATGGAAGAAGATACACCACAAAATAATTTTATGGAAGGTGCAGAGTTGGGTCGTACTATTTTTCTTCCACAAAAGGGGAGAAAATCATCCGCTTTAAAGTGTTCAGAGCAAATTACGTTATTTTTTGTCCATACCCAATTTTCTTTTTCGATAGAAAGAACCTTGTCCTTGTCCTGTAAAGTTTCATTTCTAGGAAAGCTAGAAATTAAAAAATTACATGTTTACAATAAAAATTTAGAATAAAAAGTGGAAATATCTTATTTTTGTGTACAGCTACCTAAATATTTAGAAATGTTTTGTATTGGACATCTTCTGCAATTTGCGCTTCCTTTCACAGTACAAAGCACAAGACATATTTAAAGTTCAATAAAAACGAAATTTACAAACAAAAATATGAATAACCTCAAAACACACCTGCGAACCTAACGTCAACAACAACTGCGTCACTGCATATCTCTGGTCATAGTATAACAAGCAGTAATCTGATGGCAACAACTATCAATACAGGTCTTGTAACAGATTGCATATACTCATGGTGATTCAAAGAACAAGTTTAGCGTACTTATTACTTTTATAAAGTTAAAATTGTTAAAAATAACGGCAACGGCTCTAGCGTTAACTATAGACTCTTTTAGTGTGACGATTTAGGCAACCCTCAACAAATTATCACAATTGAAATTGTACAGACCGATTATGACCCTTGTATACTATTTACATAGATACTATAAAAATTAACTATTTGTAGTAAAGTGAAATAATATATTAAAATAAATCACAATAATAAATTGACACTTATAGTGCATTCACAGCTTTTATAAATTTTATAGGCCACAAAAAAGACCTGGGAAATTACAATTTCGCGACTTTTTGTTTCGGCAAGCTGAATTCATCAGTATAGATGCTAAATATTATGTTACAATAACATATTAGTTTCCACAATCATAAAAATGGGGGGAAGATTGTTTACAGGGTGGTTAATTGTATAATTTTTACGTAAATTCACGTTTCTCGCTTATAACTTTTTTTCGTTCATTTCCACGAGAAAACAGTAAAGTACTTTTTTCCGTCTTCAAAAGACCTACAAAACTAACTCTCGAGTGTCAAAAAATATTGATTAGATCAGAAGTTATAAACAGAAGAAGTTTATTTATGACTTTTGAATTAAACATTTTTAATCTGCGTTATTATTACCAGAACGTTTTGGCATCGCATCCTCTCATTCCTTATCACTGTCTATAATAACTCATACTAAATCTGGAATTGGTAAGTTGAATAGTTTACAAGTTATGACCTTATAAACAAATTAGCTAATTATTAGTCTGGACGATCCCGAGGATCTTCCACAATCGCACTGATTTTTTTCATGGTAGATTACATAATAATACATTGAAATCTATCATTTTTTTTCATTTCATTATGAAATGCCGATCATATACCAGTAATCTGTTTCAGTTTAAATTGTTACTATTTCTCGTACTTTAGTTGCTGATCGAGGTGTTAATTTAACGATTTAGCCACGGAAAAAAATCTAAATCACATTTATTTTCATTTCCAGTGCTACCGCTGACCCACACGATCTCGCGATCTTCAGGCTAGCCAATCCACTCACATTCAACTCCATGGTACAACCGATCGGTCTTCCCGACCAAGACGACTTCTTCGCGGGCGTCGCAGTCCTGTCAGGATGGGGATCCATCAGTAACACCAACGTACCCATCATGCCCACTACCCTCCAATTCGTTGAGGTACCCATCATCGATACCGAAAGTAAGTTCAAAATACCTTTCGATGTCTAAAGAAAACCCTAACCAATATTTTTTCAGCATGCAAAAGAGCTTTCGATGTCATACTAGGAGGCGCACCGAATCCCCTGGACTTGGAAGCCAACATTTGTACGGGACCGTTGACTGGAGGAGTCTCCATTTGCCAAGGAGATTCTGGTGGTCCATTGGCTGATTTTCAAGGACAAATACTGATCGGTATCGCGACTTGGACAGGTAATCCATGCGGCAGAGCGGGATCACCATCAGTCTACAACAACGTCAGCTACTACACCCGATGGATCAGAGGTTCTATCACTGGATAAGTGTGTTGAATTCATTTATTATTTATTTAATTTGCGAAATAAAGTACTAGTTCGCTATGTGACCTTTCATTCGCCAACTTACCTTTGTAGCCACGAGTTATTTTATTACAAAGACCAAGAGTTCAACAAAATAAAAGTTATAAAAAAATAAAGCAACGATATTTAGACAGTGCTTCCAGGAATTATAATTTTTTTTTGGATATGGATAGAAATATCTTCAGATAATCGAGTGAAGACTTCTATGTAGTTGAAATATTTTCAAATTAAATTATTTCAACATTTATAGAAAAACTAGTATTAACATATATTTTATCTGTTATTGAGCAATCAAGATACAATATCTCGATTCTTTTCAAATGCATTATTGTACTTGCTCTTGTATTTTCACTTCACTTTATTTCAAATGCTCGTTTAAATTAAATCTAAAAGTTTTTCTAAAATTTTCGTAATAAGTATGAAGTCAAATAATATTATTAGATACATAATTATTACATCTGGATATCCGCTTTGACGCACCAGTTTGTCAAAATCGTCCATTTGTCAAACACATACTATTCAAAACATAACGCATTTTTTCGCGAATGAAGTCGTATGTCGTAGTATGTGTAGCATGCGTGAATTAAGAGATTTAAACTACCATATGACAACTAAGATCAAAATTATGAGTAATTAAATAAGAGGATTTTTTCTGTGTCTTCTGTCGGCAGCAGCGGCAGAGTGCGCCATCTGAAGCTGGTGCGGCAAACGACACACGGAAACCACAGACCATAAAATAATTAAGGAATCTGCATGGGAAAATATAATTAGAGTAACTTCTAATTCTACTTTCGAATAGATATCGCTGCACCACAATGGCGATAAATTTAAATTTAATAAAGTACACTAAGAAGAGTAAAAAGTATTTCATAAGTAATAGATCACAAAATAACTGGTAATGGTTGATAATTAAAATTAAGGTGAGCCATTTTCAGCCGTTCCTTGACCCATTACTTATGAAACGCTTTAATTATCACTTGGTTAAATGAAAGCAGTTATTTTTAAATGTGTGACAAATTTATTCTGTTATGAATTCGAAAATATTGTAAGTATCAAAAAAATGTACATAAAGCCTGATTTATATAATTTCCGAACTGATTCTATCCGCATTAATTGTCTGTCTATTGTAATTCTGAAAAAACTTATGTCTCTATAGGATACATTGCATACATTCTTATAGTAGTAAGTGTTTTCGTAATTTAGAGCACAACATTGCGTTTAGTTCTACCAGGTAAACACATTTTGGATAAAAACTGTAACCTCAAACTTTCTGTTTCTATTCTTGAAAGATTGGAAATACAGATTCGATCTGTAGTTGAAGATTTCTATTTAACAATTTCTATAAACGACAATGTTTTGACGCACCAACACGAGATGGCCCCAGCGAATGCATTCTCCGTTCGCCAAGACTCCTCACTACCGACAGTAACCGACCTACTCTCTCGATCGTGGACCAACCAATTTAAAGCAAAATTTGATTTATTCCTGCTACTCACACTAGCGCCATCTCATGGCCTCTAGCCCTACGTACGAAATTTCCATTTTAGATAGTAGTCCACAGTCTGTCTACAAACATTACATTAGTAGAAATCTTTGTATAAGCTGAATTACAGCCTATAATTCAGTGCCATTCACATAACATTAAGTTGTATATCTGGTTGCATAAAATTTCTTGAGTCAGCAAAGTAAAGAGCAGAACCGTAATCAGATTGAATGTCCAGAGACGAACTCTTGGTAATTAAAAGGACGCTCAGTATATAAACCTAATTAGTTATACAATTTTATGAATAATAAGAGGTTCTAAATGAATTGATAATTATTTGCAATAGAGTAACTTGCATAAATTAGAAAAATTTTCGCATCGCCCTATTTTCCAGGGTGCTGAACACGAATCTGAAGTTATTTTTGTACGGACGAAGTTAGTTTTCGAGAAAAAATTTTTACGATCGCTGATTGGTTGAATAAAATCTCGTCAAAAATGTTACCAATCACAGCAGGTGAAACAGAATGTAATTTTGATCTTATTGTTTTAAGTTTGCCGACATTTAATTGCCAACGCGAAGGAAATAAAATTACTTTTCCAAGCAAAATTACTGATCACGTGGCTTTCAAAACAACTGTAATGAACAATCAACATTGTTTAAGAAATATATTTTCGCAAATTTCAAGTAAAAAAATATGTGTAATAAATAAAAATGTCGGATGAACACAGACGAATGGGAATATGGGAATTTCAATGACATCACTAATTACAAATGGCGGATTGAAGCAAGAACCAATTTATTAAATACATGTTCATATGAAAAAGTGCTTCTTAAACACATTTTAAAAATAAAATCTTTTAATCATTAATGTTGGTGATGCCAAGATTTAGATTTTTCGTCACCAGTATCAATCGTGCACTGTTGGTTGCCTAATATTGTTGCCTGTTGGCGGTCACGTGACTTGTAAACATTTATGAAGGCTGTGTGTATTAAAAACAAAATGTACTGTTGCAAGCATTAATGCCAAAAAATCTTGAGGAGCATGATACAAATGATAAAAAATTTTCGAGGATATTGTCAATATTTAACATATGTATATTTAACATTTTGATTTAATCTGTCCACCATTCGATTAGGCAAAGAAAATTTTCTTAACTGGAGACGAATAAGATCTTGAAATGATTTCCAACAATTAAAATCGTAAGTAGGAAATGAAGGACGCTTGCAACAGCACTCTAAAGTTAAACAATCAAGACGAATAAAGGTTCCATGGAAAAGAAAAGGGTTATGTAGCCTAATTTACTCTTTTCTTAGCGTTAAAAAATCCCTAAGATCTAAGGTAGAAACCTAGCACTAGTACCCTTTATTTAAGAATAGCGTTAATGTTATATAACACCAGGAAACGCAGGCGCATCATACAAGTAACTTATTTCCTTAAAGTGGTAGCAAAACTCTCTATAATTTATAACATACCACGTTGCTACTAACAACGCAAATAAAACACTTCAGGTGATTAGAATAAGATAGTGAAATAGTAATAAAACTGTAATCAATTCTTCAAATCAATAATTTTAGTATATATTTTTGCTAAAGGTAATAGGATAATCGATATAATTCGAGGATGAACTTTCATGCGCAAATAATACGGTCGGAAATGCTTCTTTGTGGAAACTATTTCGTAATGTATTTTCTGAATAGTTAGAAAACATTTTTTAAATTTATTGCAAATATCTGCATCCTCTGATTGCGTCATTTAGAATTTTCTGCTCTCTGATTAGGTGGTTTAGAATTCTCCGTCCTTTGATTGGGTTGTTTAGAATTCTCCGCTCTCTGATTGGGTGAATGAGAACTCTTTGCTCTCTGATTGATCCGCTTAGGCAAAAATGGGAGGGGCGACAAAGAAGGTGGAGGGAGGGCGATAAAAGTGGGTGAGAAATGGATTAGAACTCTCCAACTTACCCTACTCACTTTATTTTTAAAACATATTACAAATAACAAGTAAAATGTAGGTATGCCTATATCTTTTCAAATATAAATATACAGATTACGTATTTATTCACTTTTTTGGAGAATCCATAGCATCTTAAACTACACTGTAAGAAATATTTGTTAATATTTTCAAACTGGTGAATTGTGAAGGGTCTCTTGCAGCTTGAAAATGGTGTAGGCTCTGTTATGCGCATTGTACGATTTTCGCACATCTGAATTTGCTGGTTTACATTTGCAGCGGTAATAAGTTAAATTTTAACATTATTAAATTTATCACCGTTTTCAGAAAGATAATATCTTTGAAGGACAAAATTTTCTTGAATTATCCTTACACAAATTTAAACGCCAGCACAAAATATAGATTTTTTTTCTTCCAGCTGCTCACAACGATCTTCCCGGTGTTCGAATCGTAGGAGGCGACGATGCCGAGCCGGGCCAGTTCCCTTACCAGGCCTCAGTCCAATTCTGCCTCCAGGGTGTCTGTTCGCACGTCTGCGGTGGCGCCATCATCGGTTCCCTATGGGTCCTGACAGCTGTTCACTGTATCACTCAAGCCCCCGATGTTGGCAGCTACCAGATTCTAGTCGGCGTCCTGGACCTAGACGTTGACAACCCGGAGAGACTTGTGGCCTATTCACCTATTTGGAAAAATTTCATGCAAGTAATTCCTTACAGCAATCCCGAAATAAGGAGGGGCCCCATCCTGTTGAAACCAAATATTATCTGCTGGAGCATCATTATTTATGTAAAGTTATGGTATTTGTAACTGTCACAATGATATGCGGCACTATAGCAATCGCTAACTGTCGTCTTCAAAATAATGTCTAGCCGCTGTGATCGGCTGAACCTACAACAAAACACAAAAAAATCTACAAATTCCCATTATTTTTTGCTGTGGTACTGTTTTCGTATAAGTTCATACCTACTTTAGTTGTTATTTTTAGCCATTTCCCTTCAAAAGGGCTTATGCTTAAAAAAATAGAGCTATTTAAACAAAATGTCGATGACGTCATAGATTTATGAAACGTAACGCAAAAAAGGTTTAGGCAACGTGACAAAACGACAATTCCTATTTACTAATTGACGTGTTTTAGCGTTTTTGTGAAATAGTACAGTCATTGAAGCTGAAAATCAGCTGTAACCTCCGAATTATTTGAAACTGCATGGATTTGCATGAAAATTTAGAATAAGACTCATCTTGGGCTCAAGTTCAAAAGTGGCATAATCCCGATTCACGTCTTTTGTTTTTTAGGGGTAAAAAGTACCCCTAAGTGAAAAAAATTGAAAAAATTTAGTTTTAAGCATTTAATTGATAAAAATCTTGTTCAAGCACAAATATTAAATAATGTTACATGTTCTCGAACATGTTTTATGATATATTTTATCTTTGCAAAAAATCTATACAAAAAATAATGATAAAAAATTACTTTTTAAAAATTTGGAATGATTAAATCGTGCAATTATTTAAAATAAAAATTACCTTCCAGCTAATAAAATAATTTTTCCCTATCAACCCCTAAAAACCACCCCTGTATTGTCAAATATAATAAAAAATTACTATTTAAAAGCTTGGAATGCTTTAACGGTGCAATTATTTAAAATAAAAATTCCCTCATTGCTTATGAAAGAATTTGTATCTCATAACACTTTTTAACCCTTATAAATAACCCCTGTGCTAAAAAAATTATAAAAAATTACGTTTTAAATCTTGGAACGCTATAATTGTGCAATAATTTAAAATAAAAATTCCCTTATATTGTTTATACACGCTGACGCGCACTTGAATTCTAACATTTTGCTCCAAAAATGAAAAAGCCTATTTTACTCCGAAAAATTGTCATAGGTTTTTTTTACCATAACTCGGTTAATTTTGAAGTTAAAGTATCCTATATAATAAAGCATTTTAAAGATAATTTCAAGAGCTGTAAGATCGTTTGCATATAAAACCTTTTAATTTCTTCGTTTTTTTTAAGGGAAAGGATAGAAGGGCTCGAAACAGGTCGTTTTTTCACTAAAATGGATACTTCAAGCTGTGATATCTCCTTTATTTTTTGATGCTATAGGATTAAAAAAGCAAAATATTTGTTGAAAAAAAATCTACGTTTTTGTTGTCTTTCATTTTTTACGTATCTTTCATAGTTTCAGGGTTATTATATAAATAAAGCAATTTTTTTGAATAATGAAAAATACATTTTCAACTTTTACCGTACATTATTTAAAAAATGCGCATTCTAATCCGGTCTAACTTCAGGATCGTATGAAAAACACTAAAACAAAGTAACCCATCTGTTTTTGATGGTAACTCCTTCAATTTTGCTCTAATTAACTTTTATAAGTGCTCATTTTGAAGGTCTTTTTGAGTACTACAAAAAACTCCAGGGGCGTTATACACGTAAAATTAATCCTTTTTCCGTTATTTGACCAAAACAAATCCCCTTCCACTAACCATATTTCGCTTTGTATAGGGCGTACAACACTTTTTAAATAACCAGTTCCTTTGTCTATTTATAAGCTACATTTTTGTTTATTACACTTTTTTAAATAAAATGCGTAGTTTTTGAGTTATTCGCGAAAAATACTTTGAAAAAGTTTTTTTTTTCAGTCAGTTTTCAATCGTGAATATCTAAAAAATTATTGATTTCTCGAAAAAATTCTTCGAATATTTTTTGCTCAAAATTTGATTCTCTATCGATTTCCAGATTTGAAAAAAAAATCAACCCCCCCCCCCCAGAAGGGGTGTCAACCCCCAACAGGGTGGAAGCGTCAATCGGGGCTATGTCACTAATGTTCATTGACCTTTTCTCTAACTATCTGCCAAATTTCAAGTCGATCGGTTCAGTTGCAAAGAATTCGGAGGTGAAAAGCTTCAATGACTGTACTAAAAACGCAACACAAAATAAAATACGAATTTGCGTTACTTCTCGGACGCCTTGTATAATTTTTTAAAATATTTTCAATTTCAGCCAACTGTTGGTCTGTCCACATTTGTAAACACGGGTTTTTCCATTACAAAGACTGAGAGTTCAACAAAATACAAGTTTTAAGAATCAAGCAGCGATATTTATATATTGCTTACAAGANCTCATTTTTCCTTAAAAAATATGAGCAACCCATCTGTTTTTAACGATAACTCCTTCAATTTTGCTCTAATTAACTTTTATAAGTGCTCATTTTGAAGGTCTTTTTGAGTACTACAAAAAACTCCAGGAGCGTTATACACGTAAAATTAATCCTTTTTCCGTTATTTGACCAAAACAAGTCCCCTTCCACTAACCATATTTCGCTTTGTATAGGACGTACAACACTTTTTAAATAACCATTTCCTTTGTCTATTTATAAGCTACATTTTTGTTTATTACACTTTTTTAAATAAAATTCGTAGTTTTTGAGTTATTGGCGAAAAATACTTTGAAAAAGTGTTTTTTTTCAGTCAGTTTTCAATCGTGAATATCTAAAAAACTATTGATTTCTCGAAAAAATTCTTCGAATATTTTTTGCTCAAAATTTGATTCTCTATCGATTTCCAGATTTGAAAAAAAAATTCCACCCCTCAGAAGGGGTGTCAACCCCCAACAGGGTGGAAGCGTCAATCGGCGCTATGTCACTAATGTTCATTGACCTTTTCTCTAACTATCTGCCAAATTTTAAGTCGATCGGTTCAGTTGCAAAGAATTCGGAGGTGAAAAGCGTCAATGACTGTACTAAAAACGCAACACAAAATAAAATACGAATTTGCGTTGCTTCTCGGACGCCCTGTATAATTTTTTAAAATATTTTCAATTTCAGCCAACTGTTGTTTCAACTAGTGGTTTGTCCACATTTGTAAACACGGGTTTTTCCGTTACAAAGACTGAGAGTTCAACAAAATACAAGTTTTAAGAATAAAGCAACGATATTTATATATTGCTTACAAGAATTATAGAATTATATAATATTTTAGATAACTGATCTTTATAATATGTCAAAATTAACTTATCTGAAATATTTACAGATAGTCGAGTAGGCACTTCTAGTTGAAATATTTTAAAATTAAATTATTTCAACATTTATATGTAGAAAAATTAGTATTAACGCATATTTCATCCATTATTGAGCAATCAAGATGTAATATCTTGTTTCTTTTGAAATGCAGTGTTGTATGTACTTGCTGTTGTATTTTTATTTTATTTCAAGAGCTCGTTTAAACTAATTAAAGTTTTTCTAAAATTTTCGTAATGGGAAGTCAAATAATATTACTCGTAGATACACAATTATATACAGGGTGTTAGTAAATAAGTGCGACAAATTTCAGGGGGTGATTCTACATGAGAAAATAATGGCAGTTTGCTTATAAACGTATGTCCGCAAATAATTCGTTTTCCGAAATACGGGGTGTCAAAGTTTTTCTTAAAAACTGACGATTTAATTTATTGCTCTGAAACCGGTCGAGATGTGCAAATGAAATTTGGTGGGTTTTAAGAGGTAGTTATTGCGCATTTTTTGACACGCAATTAAGAATTTTATGTTCATCATTGGCGCGCGTACGGGTAATAATCTCAATTTTTTTAAAGAAAAAAATGGTACGCCACTGAGATATTACAAATTAAAAATCATTTTTGAATTCCTCGTTCAATTTGTGACAAAAAATCTCTCTTGCCTTTTCTTCGTATGGGGCGCCGTTTTGATGCAAAAAAATAAAACATCTTAACGCGTATTTTTTATTTCTTTAATACATTATCAAGAACTATCTAATACAATAACATTAAACCAGAACAATAACAGAAAATAACACTAATAAAATTTTGAAAAGGCGCAAAGCTACAACAAATGTTCAAAATGACCTCCCTCAGACGTGACACAAGATTCAACTCTTCGCCTCATTGATTGTCGTATTCGCGCAAATATTCCTGGTATATTTCTTATTGTCTCACAGCCGACTATAATTCGATTCCTCAGGTCATCAACATTTTCAACGGGAGTGGAATAAACTAATGACTTAAGAAAACCCCAAATGCAAAAATCAAGAGGATTTAAATCCGGCGATCGAGCAGGCCAATGTTCCGTACCTCCCCTACCTATCCAACGATTTGGATATACTGTGTCTAAGTGATTACGTACATTAATGCTAAAATGGGCTGGTGCACCATCATGCATGTACCATAGGTGTTGTCTCAGCTGTAGAGGAATTTCTTCAAGAAGAACAGGTAACTCTTCCTGTAGGAAATTAAGATAAGATTCGCCTGTTAGTCGTTGTGGGAGGAAATATGGACCGATTAAATGATCATCAATTACCCCAAGCTATACATTTACGGAAAACTGATGCTGAAAATGAGCTTCAAAGATTCCATGGGGGTTTTCCTCAGCCCATAAGTGATTGTTATGGAAATTTCGTATACACTGTCGTCCAAAAGTAGCCTCGTCAGTAAACAAACCGGCATTTAAAAATTAGGAATTTGAGCGATTTGATGATTAATCCATTGCCAAAAAATAGGCGCGGAAAAAAGTCCCACAGTCAACCGTTTGTTTCTTAAATGAACTATTTTCGCGCAAACGTTGATGAAGACGAACAAATATTGTGTGATGATGAGGTACCCTACGTCCTAGATACAACTCAGCATACAATCGTCGAGCTTGCCGACCATTTCCATTACTTCGACCATAGACAAAATGCATGTCTGACAATTCCGCATTTGTAAAATTTTCCATTCTTTTTGATAATCGAAAAATTAATTACTTATTAACACTAATGTTATAGCTTATAGCAAACTGAAAGCTAATTTGACATTT